CCCAATTGTTGCTGTTTTTTCCACCTCTGACGATGGACTCCTGCAGGAGCCCGAAAGCTCAGGACAAAATACAATTCGTTCCAGTGCTCGATCGTGTGTCTTCTTTACCAATGATGGGAAATATATGGATACAAAGAAAAATGTAAAAAGTACGTAAAGTACATGCTGCGGGTGAAGACACAGCAGGCGTTTTGTAGTCGAAATAGTTATGAAATATGGCTACTCACTAAGCACGATTAGTACATATAATGCAATTTACTGTCTTTGACTCCTAAGGGCGTGAAATGGTGTGTTTGGTTCGTATCCGTGAAGTAACACAGATTGAGCGGAAAACCACATCGGGAAGGGCGTTTCACGCTGCAAAGACTCTGTTGCCGAAGAAGAATTTCCGAGCATAGATCCTTGTTTTGCTGGGGCGCAGTTCAAGGGGATGACCACGCGAACTTAGCGTATTAGCCTGGGTAAAGAAATCTTCGGGGACAAAGCAACAATCCAGGTTATTCATAATACGGAAGGTAATTATGAAGTCCCATCGGAGTTATCTGTAGGGAAAGGAATAAATCGAGGGTTCACGGTCTGCTTTCATATGGCAGTGTTCCCAGACCTTTGAGTATTTTCGTCACTCGCCTCTGGACCTTCTCTAAGACGGTACAGCCTTTGACATTCCGAGGGCTCCATGCCGGTATAGCGAATTCCATGTGCGGCCGAACGAAGCCCCAAATATTTTTAAAAAGCTCTTTTTCGAACCCCATAAAGGCTCGTCTAATGAACTGTAATATAGACCTGGTCGACTTCGCCGCTTTCGTAAAGTTCAGCGTTGGTTTAAGTGAAGCAGTAATTCACACACCCAATTCCTTCTGACTCTCAACTTTTGCAGCGGTGTATTGTTTAAGGAATAGACCTTCAGGCTGGATGCTCTACAACTGCCGATTTGAAGAAAGTTGCATTTACTAACATTGAAAGGCATAAGCCAATGTTTTGACCAGTTCTCCAATCTGTTTAAGTTGGCTTGCAAATGGTTTTCATCTGCGCTATTTTGGACAAGTTTCCATAATTTTATGTCGCCAGCGAACAAAGTAACATCACAATACGTCCCTGACGCGGTCGTTGATGGGAACAAGGAATAATGTTGGATGCCACTCACCACAGGTACCCTCAAGGACTGCTGGCGGCCGACTTGTACTCTTTGGGGCCGTCCTGTCAAAAATTTTTGTATCCATAGGAATAGGGTCCCGCGGACGCCTGCGCTGTGCAGTTTATGCAGGAGGCGTTGGTGAGGGACCGTGTCGAACGCTTTTTTGAAGTCAATGTAGATGGCATGCACCATTTTGCCTTCGTCACGTGCTGTGGTCCAGCGATCAACTGAGAAGGACAGGTTCGTGTGACAGGACTTATCACTGCGAAAACCGTTTTGGGCATCAGAACGGAAG